TCCTTGAAGTGTATTTTGTGAGTCAGAAGAAGTTGTTTATGACTCACAATGTTTCATGAATTGTTCAAAACTTAAATGTATCAATTTAAATAACAACAAAACAATATTTGGGAATGATGTTTTCGAGGGTTGTGTGTCACTTGAATCGATACTTTTTGAAAATCAAAAGTTAAAAACTTATAGTGGAGAAGTTAGCTACACGTTTTATAACCAATTTAAAAAGAAGCAAATTATTTGTGAAAACATTAAAGTAAAATGCAACGATTTAATGACATTCGGAATTGATATTTTAAAATTTCAAAAAGTTCATAGCATTGATGAAGGAGCATTTTTTAACAACACAACAATCACTGAAATTGAAATACCAAATAATATTACTGCAATTGGAAATTTTTGTTTTGTTTGTGCAACTAAACTTGAAAGAGTCGTATTACCATTATCAATAACAGGAACTCCCTCCTTTTTGTTTTGATAATTGTGTGTCGTTAAAAATAATTAATTTGGAACATATTAAGAAAATTGGGATGGGGTGTTTCGACAATACCAAGTTTGAAAATATGGTATTTATGCAAATAAGAACAAATTAATTAATTCACAATAAAAAATTTGGTTTTTTATCGTGAATATTTATGATGTAAAAACAAATAAAATATAACATTTGGTTATCATAAATATCAACAGTTATAAACATACAATATATATTCAGTTATTGATAAACAAACGTTATTTGTTTTTTTGTGTTTGTTTATATATATATCATTTAACAATAATATATTATAGATAATCATTTATTTATTTATTATAATAGAACATTAATATGTTAAACATATAAGAAATAAGTGAAATGAATTTATTTGGTGACATAAAATGTAAATTGGTTAATATATTATTTGTATTATTATTTTTTGTATTATGTTTGTTTTTTTTTATTAAAAAAATATTTGATTATATTGTCTTAAAAAATATTGTTAATTTTAAATAAAAAATAGTAAATTATTCATTAAATAATTTATAAAATAAAACTAATTTCATTGTGATTTTGTTTGTTGATTTTAAGTGTGGTTTAATTTTTCAGAACTAAAATTAACACAAAAAATGGAAATACATCCAATTGAAATATTAAAAATTGTGATGATTGGCAATGTGTATGTTGGCAAATCGTCCATCGTACATCGGTATCAATGGGGAAATAATGAAGCACCAGTGTGGTATTGGTGTTGATTTTGAAATAAAAAATGTTGAAGTTAATGGAAATCCATATAAACTCCACATATACGATACTGGTGTGTTTCTATTTTTGTAACAATAATATTAACATCAAGCTGGACAAGAAAGATTTCGTTGTATTTCATGCCGTTATTTTGCAAAAGCGGAAATTTGCTTGGGTTTGTTCTAATTCTTTTAATTTTAATAAAAGTAATGTACAGTTGTTTTCGATCCATTTGAAGTAAGTTCATTTGAGGCAGTGAGTAGTTGGGTGGATGAAGTAAAAAACAGTTGTGGTGATAGTTGTTACTTTGTAATAGTGTGCAACAAAATTGATCTGAAAAATCCACTCATCACGAAAGAAATTGCTCAACAAATGTGTGTGAAGATGTGTCTCCCTTTGATGTTTTGTTCTGCAAAAAGTGGGGATGGAGTGAATGAAATATTTGATTATGCTGTTAAAAGTGTACTTGAAAACAGAATGAAAACTCGTAATAATAATAAAACTGTATCTAAGACAATGCATGATGAAAAACAAAATAAAAATTATATTTCATGGTGTTTGACAGTCTGAACTTGTTTTTAGTTGGATACTGATTTTATTAAATATAATTTAAAGATAAATTATGCATTTTTGCTTTAATTTGTTTAAATCATCAAAATAGCAATAAAATTCAAAACATTTAAAATCACAATTACAACATTAATTTATTTTATGTTTTCAATGTGTGTAATCAGTAAAGTCAAACCCATTTTAAGCTGTTTTAACAATAATGAGTTATCTCAAAAATAACAATTTTAGCCAATATATTGAAAACTGCTATATTATTTAAAAATGCCTGCTCTAAAGAAAACACAAATAACTACATTTAAATACTTTTGAATGGTTTGGATTTTTAAATCTTAAAATGTTTTATAATTATAATTTTGAACATATGTTTGTTGTTTGTTTTACATATACAAGATATAAATATTATAATTTTTGGGTGTTATACATAACTTATTTATTCATATTTACTCAATTACAGGTATATTGTTTATTGTATGTTAAATATAATAATTATTTAACATGCAAAAAATAATATCATCATTTATATGGTATTATTAATGTAAAATTAATATAATGTTGTGTATGAAAAATACAAAATCAAAATGTTCTTTGTTAAATATTGGTATATTGTTTAGTAAAAAAAATCAACAAATATTATTTTAATATAAAAAACCAAAATAAAATTATTTTTTTAATACAAAACGATTAAATAAACGAGTGAATAATGAATTTATTATAAAACCTTTTACTCACAAAAAAATTCTATTTTATCGAGTTTATCACACTCGAAAATAGTGTTCAATTGAAGGTCTTTTAAGTTTGCTGGCAAAGTAATTGAACTGAGGTTTCTACACATTTTAAAGCATTCATTTCCAATATAGGTCACACAATTTGACATTTCAATTAAATTGAGTTTACTACATCCATAAAAGCACTTCTTTTTAAGTTTTGATACGCCACTGGGAATTCGAATTTCTTCGAGTAATGCACAGTGTTCAAAACAACTCTCTTCAATTGATGTGATGTTCAATGGCAGCCTTATGTCTTTGAGTTTATAACAATTTTGAAAACAAAATCCACACAACACAATGACGCTGTTTGGCAACTCTATTTCCCTCAAGTTCGAGCAATTTGAAAAACAGCACTCCCCAAGTTCAGAAACACTTTCAGGGATTTTGATGTTATCGAGTGTAACATGCCCATAATACGCGTCTTCTCCAACAGTTGCAACTCCAGGTGGAACAACATCGCCGTATTTCAAGCGGTCACCCTCCCCATAGACAATGTTCTTGAAAACAAAATTCAAAGACTTCTTTATAACGGACGTTTTGTAATCGACTTCGTACCAGATCACCACGCGGAAGAAATTCACTTTGGAAATATTGGGGGTCACAAGAGAGTCGTCCCAAACTTTGTTCATAAAGGCTTCTTCGTTTTTTGACCATATGTTGAGAGTTTCGATTCGTGGAAAATACTTCAGTGTTTTTGGTGTAAGAGGAATAGGGTTGAAATGAAACTTTGTGATGTTTCCCATGAACTTTCGACAAACAGTCTCAAGTGTAAAAAAGTCGTGTATTTGATCAAAGTACTTGGACACAATCATAATATGAAACCCATCAAGACGTTTTGGCATTGTAATTTTTATGCAATAATAATAATTTAAATTATTGTAAAACTTCAAAAATGAGTGTTTATTTAAATTAAATAAGTTTAAAATTAATAAGAAAACTACTTATTTGAGTTATTAATATTTATATCATAAACTATAAATTTCAACATTCTCAATAAATGTAAATTTTAATTAAATTTTAATTCATTGTTTGTAATTCCAATAAAAACAAATTTTAATTAATTTTTATGAACTGAATAAAATTGATTTAATCATAAACTGTCGAATAATCATGTTATTTAAATTAAACAAAAAATATAAAATTGCAAATTACATTTTAATGTACATAAAATAACAGACAAAATATAAATTTATATTAAATAATAAAACTGTGATAATTAATATAATTTGAATTGTTGATGAAATATTTAAAAACGTTATGTATAACAATGATCATATAAACAAATAACACATTTTTGTGAATGGTTTAAAACAGATCACCAAATCCTCCAAACGCGCTTTCGTCAACAAGTTCTTCTTTAATTTCGACAATAACATTTTTAAATGGAATTCCAAACCTTTCACAAAACTGTGACGTCAAGCATATGCATCCATCAAACGCATTTGATTTGATGTATTTAAGTTGTGATGATAAGTTCAATTCTTTTAGACGTTTGCAGTTGTAAAAAGCATTTTTTGAAATGTACTGAACGCCTTGACAATCACCAACTTTTGTAGTTTTTCACATTCAGAAAAAGCTTCACTTTCGATGTATATTAACGTAGACGGAAATTCGACTTCTTTTAATTCAAATTTCTGTTTAAAAAGAGATTCACCAATTTTAGTGATATTACCACCAATAACAACTTTTTCCAAGAACCAACACGATTTGAATATGTTATTGTTGATGGTGTTTTTGTCTCCTCCTAAAGTGACAGTTTTAAGAGACATACACCCTTCAAATGTAACACTTTTTACCATATCATTGTGAAAAGTCACTTCTTCAAGTTTGTTGCAATTAACCAAAATATTTCCCATCTCACTAACTGCCTGTGGTATTTCAATGTGAGTAATTGGCGTGTTTGAGAAACATAAGTAACCAAGTCGTGTTGTTTGTGTGTTGATGTCAATTTGTGTGATGTTAATTCCTTTAAGTGCACTATTTCCATACTTAACAACATTTTCTAAATGAATTTGAGAGAGACTGCCGCATTCTTCAAAAGCTGATTCGCCAAGTTCGGTGATGTGATTGGTGTTTTTAATTGATGAAAGTGCGATACACCCATAAAACATCTTTTCTGGTAGAACTTCAATGTTTGTTGGCAATGTGACGGACAGCAGAGAAGTTGCTGACATAAACATCTTTATACCAAAATTCGTAATAATTGTTTCTTTATTATACGTTTTTTCATTTATATCTACTAATTCTTTTATCACATCATTCGGAAAAACAATTTCGTTCAAATTGCAATGTGAAAAGCATGACATTTCAAATTCTGTTGTTAATTCTACATTAATTGTGCCAAGTTGTTTACAATTTTTAAAACACGACTTGCCGATTTGTTTGATATACTTTGTATCAATATGTGAAAGTACTCCACAATTTTTAAAGCACTTCTTTCCAAGTTTCGTGACGTTTTTTGGAAGTGACAAAGTACTTAATGACACGCAATTTTCAAATGCTAAATCTCCAAGTTCACAAATAGTGTTTGAAAGATCAATTTGCGTGAGAGAAGAACAATTTAAGAAACACGAATCACCGATTTTGGTGATAGTTACAGGTATCACAATTTTTTTGAGTCTTTCGCAACAACAAAACGTGTTGTTCAACTCACAAATTGTTTGATTAAAAGTAACTGCTGTAAGCTCTTTGCAATTATCAAACAACCAATTTGCCACTTTGTAATTATCAGGAATAACAAAAGATGTGGGATGGAATTTATATAACACATCTCCACCCACTTCTTTTAGATTTTTTAATTCCGAAAATTTGTTATTGACTTCAACATCTCCAAAACAGCTGTCGTCTAATGTTTGAATTGTAGTTGGCAATTTTATCTCTTTTAAATCACTGCATTCAACAAAACATTTTGCACCAATTCTTGTCAGGTGTGGTGGTAAATTGATTTTTGTCAAAAAAGTGCATTCACAGAACATTTCATCTCCAAATTCAGACAAACTGTTTGGAAGTTCAACAAGTTCGACACGGGCATTTTTGAATATCCCTATGCCGAAATCAGTCACGCTTTCATGTACAATAACAGTCTTCCAATTGCACTCAGCAAAAGCATAATCATCCATCTTTGTGATGGTATTAGGCACTTCATATTTTCCTTTTCCTGATGAATAAAAGAGGTATTCAGGAAGTGTGGTGATATCACTTGAAAATTCGACTTTAGTAAGTTCCGTGCAGTTTACAAAAAGTCCACAGTGAAGATATGTCACAAGTGATGGTATCACAAGATCTCTCAAATTGTAGACATATGTGAACGCCGCACTTAGTTTCGTAAGGTGTGAAGGGAGGTACAAATGCTCTACCATGTTACAACACTCAAACGTCGACCTTCCAATCTCCACTACACTTTGTGGGATGTTAATTGTCTTTGCATTACACAACTCTAAACACCATTTTGAAAGACTTTGAACACCATCGGGGATAGTCACAATATCATCATCATTGTATCCACTGTAACATATTCTGTGATATGTCGTAGGAAATGCTCTATCTAAAATATCACAAAGCGTTTTTTCTTCAAAATCAGAAGATTTCAATTTGGTTTTAAACTCAACTTGATGCGATGTAATGTTTAAGTTTGTAAATAATAAATCGTTTTTTGTATACAAATGAAGTGTGTTCAAATTTGGAAAAAAACGTCTTGTTTTTGGTGTGAGAGATATGGGGTTATAATGAAATTTTGCCATATTATTGGCATACTTCTTGCATACAAATTCAATGTTAATGAAGTCATTAATGGTCTTAAACTGTTGAGAAATGATCATCATGGAATAGCCGTCAATAATACCCATCACTCACTACTTTGATAATTCAAGTTTTACATTTCAATTGTTTGTAATAAAATATTAATTGTTAATTTCTTATCATTTCGAATAAAAATTAAAATGGTTTGAAGCTTGATTCAACGAGAAAATTGTTTTTATAATAATATTATATAATAGAATAATAATTATCATTGATATTATAAAAGTTTCGAACTTAAATTATTCAAATTAAATAAATAAAAAAAAATTAAAAACATTAAAGAAATTGTGTTTGAATATAAAATACATTATTATAATATATAATATAATAATATAGTTATTTTACTAATAAATATAAATTTGTTATAATAAAATTAATTATTAACAATAAACACAATTCCATAAAAATAGGTTAAATGAATGCATTATATTATTGTTTTTCAAATATCCATAAGTAAATACTAATATAGTAAACTAGTGATTCAATATATTATAATAAATTTCCAATTTCTTCATTGGCATTTGATCCAAATTAATCTCTGCGTCCCACCTTTCATCCTTTCTTATTGCTAAGAAAAATGCTCGAAGTTGTTGTTGATTTGCACATTTGAGGTTTTCTTCTATTTTTCTTTTGTATTCTTTTGTTCGATTTTCAGTCCGACAATCACCAAAATAGAAAGGGTCGATCAGTTTTTCGATTGGTACTGTTTGAATTTCGTCAATTTTTTGAATGAAAGAAATTATTGAACGAAAAGCGTCAACCCATTTGTCTTTATAAAATGACGAAAAATAATTTTTGTTTGTCGCAATTTTAATGTTATGCTCGACAAAGGAGTTAAACACCTTGACAAGATCATTGGGAACAATGTTATGAAAGTGAAAAGTAACATCATTACATGCAAAACATTCATCTGCCAATTTATTAATAACGCATGTATATAAAGTCATCTTATACTTCTCAATAAACGGAATGCTTTTGTTCCACAAAACACGCCAATAAGCCATATTGTACACTTGAATAAAATAAATTTATTATTTTATTCAAGTGTTTTTAACCAAACATTATTTATTATTTTTTTTAAATAAAAAAACAAAATAATATTAAAAATTTTAATAAAAATTTTAATGTGAAATAGAGTATACTAATTATTAATTTTCCATTTTTGAAACGTGCAAAAGTTAATTTTGCACTTAATATATATACATATATTTCATAAAACCAACATAAACAATGAACCATCAATTAAAAAATCAGAGTTAGGCTTTGTCGTAACAATTGGAATTGCCTTGTCATATACTTTCACATGAACTTCACTCATCATATTTTTTGAACCTGTCGTACTGCCGAAACAGTACTGTCAATACTTTTTATATTTATTAAATTTTAAATTTAAATAATTTTTAAAAATTATGGGTTATATTGTTTAATATGACTAACTTTTAGTTTTATTATTATTTATTGATAAATAAATATGAAATGAAATTAATTATAAAATAATTATAATGATTTACATCTATTATAAAAAAATTGCTAATAAGGTTTTTGTTGATAATAAAAACTGTATAATTTCCATTCATGTTATATTTTGACAAATATTGTTTATTAAAAAACCTATTTTATTATACTATGTAAATTGGTTTGTGTTTTTGGTTTTATATTTAAAATGTTTTACTTGTTGTTTATGATTGTTTGAAATAATAAAATTTTGATACAACAAGTTCAAAATTTTAACTACGTTTAAAACAATCAACATAGAGGAGTATCTATTCGCGATTCATTTTTGTATAATTTTTAAAATATAACTCAAAAAACCTTTTAACTTGTTTTTTTTTACAAATAAAAGTGATAATGATCAAACAAAAAAAATATAAAAACTTAACATATATTTTATATTAAAATGTTTAAATAAAGTTTCTTTAGACATGATGGATTTTTAAGTATAATAATAATGTACAATATATTTTGTCTTTATTTTGTATTAAATTAAAAAATTCTCTCTCGTCATTATAAACAACAATTATAATAACAAATGTCGAACATTGAAAAAAATAATGACAAAATTATTAAAATTAAATATATAGAAATTTCAACAATAATAAAAATATGTTACTTATGATTGCTTATTAATATGTTATTTTGTTAATAATCAATTTTTACAATTAACCATTTGTAAAACAATTTAAACCCTCTAGACTTTAAAATAATATTAAATCAACAATTTTTCAATTCTTTGAACCGCTTCATTGATTGTAATTCTTTTTTCCATCTGTGTAGACCAACAGTTCGAAATAATATCATATTGTTCATTGCTCATCATATCGGGTTTTTTAAGACGATTTCCACCCATTACAAATTCTGCAATTTTCCATGGAAATTTAAACTGATCTTTTGAGTAAGGCTCTTTCCATGAAATGACTTCGAACATGGTGATTCCAAATGAATAAACATCAGCAGATTTTTTATACTTCTGTTGTTTAAGAATTTCAGGAGCCATATATATTGGTGTTCCAATTCCTTTAGTGAAAGTCATATTAGTTTGCAGCATACTTACATTTCGACTACTTCCGAAATCAGTCAATTTTGCATTCACTTTTTCTGTAATATCTAAAGAAACAACAAGCAAATTGTCAGGCTTGATGTCTCTGTGTAAAATCCCGTTCTCATGTAAATACTGAATACCTTTAGCACCATCTAATAAAAATTTCAACCTTAACTTTGTATCAATTTCTGCACTCTTCTTGTGTTTGATCAAATCTTGAAGTGACCCATGTGAAGCAATTTCGGTCACCATACACACCTTACTTTCAATAAAAACGGCACCGTAAAAATGGATAATATAATCACTGCGGAATTTGTCTAACATGGAAACTTCTTTTTCAAATTCTTCAAGTCCACTTTCATAATTATCAAGTTGTTTCATTCTTTTGATGGCAACTGTATTTCCTCTGTATTTTCCTTTGTAAACAATTCCAAACGAACCTTCGCCAAGTTTCTCATCTTCTTCAAGTTCTCTGTAATTTAATTTAGTTGTTTGTTCAGTCTCCATTTCAATTTGTATTTTTGCGTTTTCAATAGTTCCTGTTGTTAGATTTAATGAAGTAATCATCACATCCTCCTTTGTAGTACAAGTACACAACGGCTTGATAAATATTTCAAATTCGCAAGCATATCCAGGCTTGAGAGACACGATGGAAGGTACTGTTCTAATTTCATAATAATCGCACCCATTCATCACACTGAATTGTACTTTCAAGTTGTTTTTAGAATTGTTTCCAACACATACCAAATCTCTTGTTTCTTTGTCCACTTTAATTAATTCGTTGTTATCTAAATCAAATTTTAGTGTTGTTTTGTTCGAGACAAGATTTTCGCTTAATTTCATCATCTCAATGTTTGACCGACTCATCTTGAAGTTGCAAATGTTTTGCTCTTTTTTGGCTATCTTTTTCTTTTGTATCATCGTTATCAATATTATTATTATCACAACAATTAATACGATAACTGTTAATGTGATTGAAATTGGTACTCCAACTACCAACCCATAATTCGTCACTTTGATACAATAATCACCAGCGTCACTTGGTTTGTAATTCTTTTCACATTCAACACATTTCGAGTTGTTAGCAGATTTACAGTATTCAACTTCTTTGTAATACACACATTGTAAATTAACCAACACAAAATCACTTTCTACACACATATTACAACTTAGTGCGTTGTCACACGAAATGCAGTTTTCAGAACAATTCTTGCATTGGTAATTATCTAAGTAATACCCATTTTCACATTGTAAACACCCAATTGATGTTTTTGTTACACAGTTGGTCAAATTGTCGTATGATAAACAGTATTTATTTTCCATTCCAGAAAGTTTGAAATATTCAGTTTTACAAGTTAAACACGAATCACCATCAACACAAGTACCACACGACTCATCACAAGAAATACAATCAGTCTTTTGTTTGTAATATTGGTTTTTGCAAATTGCACATCCACCACCTGTTGGAAGTGTCAAGTCACATTTTGTAAACAAATCGCCAAGTGGTTCACATGTGAAAGCAGATGAAAGGTAATACCCGGGTTGGCATGAAGTACAATATGTTGTGTTGTAACAATTTTTGCAATTTGTAGAACAAAGAAAACACTCACCAGTATTGTAGTAATACCCTTCATTGCATCTCTCACACCCTTTGTTGTTTCTAATATAACATGATACCTCTGCACCTTTCAAGTTTTGTTTGGTGTTTGTCGAATTGGTTTCTTGTTTATCATCATCAAAATTCTCAGAACAATTCCCATTCTTCAATTTAAATGAGTCCAAACACTCAATACATTGCGATTTTATAATTGATGAATATTTACAGTCTTCTATTTGAACTGATGAAAGTGGCAAACAGTAGTCATACTTCCCTTCGTTATTAATTGAGTCGGTCGGATAGAAATTTTCAGTGCACTGTAAACAACGCAGACCATCACTATTGACACAACTCACTTCACTCTTCTCAACACAAAATCCATTTGTTTGAATCACGTAATTCTCGTCACACTTTTTACATTTGCCACCCTCACAATTTTTACAGTTTGGAACTGAACAAGTCACACACTTGCCATCGTGCATTTCCATGTCATCATCAACACATGTTGAACAGAAGTTGTTTAAATATTTCGAACAAGAAATGTCATTGACACACTTCTTGTTTTCCACGTCATATGTATATTGTTGTTTGCATGCGATGATTTCAATGACATTGTTGTAATCGACACATACAGAAGCGTTTTTATTGCATGCGTTACATTGATTATTATATCCAATATAATTGTCATTGACACAGTTATAGACAACATCGTTCCTGATTGTATTACCACTTGAAACCTTCTGACAAGTCACGCCACTGAGTAAATAATTGTCATCACAGTGAATACACACACTTTGGGTTTTGTAATTTCTTTGATATTTGCAATTTGAGACTTTGGTCATGCAATCGGAGTTGACTGATATCTGATGTGCACAGTCACATGACACTTTTGATACTGTTGATGGGGCGTTACAATTGTTTGTTGCAACACATTTGTGTTCAGAAAGGTAATACGACACATCACATCGCAAACACTGCTGATTGGTCAATGCTGTCAAACAGCCAATAGCATTGTTGTCGCACTTTTGTGTTGTTTTGTTGTATATTTGGGAAGATGTGCAGCTCACACACGTTTTTGTTTGAAAAGCTAAAACATATGGAGAATAGCATGAAGTACACACAGGAACACCAACAGATTGCGTTGAACATGTTTGGCAATTGGGCAGATCATTGTAACACTGTTCACAAGAAGTTTCGGTGTTTTTGTAACTACCAGAAGGACAACTCACACACTTCTGACTGGATAAGTAATACGGGTCGTTACATGTCAAACACTCTTTTATTCTTGGATTGCATGTTTTGCAATTTGTATCAATAGTGCTGCAAGGCACGCATACACCAGCACTGTTGGGATAATACCCATTTTCACAATCAACACATTTTCGCGTGAAGTCTGATTTGCATGTTTTGCAATTCAGATCAAATGTTTTGCAAGTGACACACACTTTACTCTTTGTCTCTTCAAACACGTAATTAGTCATACAAGCAGTGCAGATACCACTGGTTTGGTTGCAATTGCCATTACATGTCGAACTACACGATTTGCATTTCTTAGTTGATTCATCGGGATACATCCCACTTGTCTTACATGTCACACACTGCCGTTGGTATGATGAATCACACGTCAGACAATTTGCATCATATGTTGAGCATTTGTCACACACCAAATTGTTTGTTGTGGAAAACACGTAATTTGACAGACACCCAGTACAAAATCCAATTGAGCCACTGCATTGACCTCCACATGTCGAATCACAACTCTGACACATATAATCGCCACTTGTTTTTGGATAAAACATTGAATTGCATTCAACACATTTTCTGGTGAAGTCGGATGAGCAATTTTTGCAATTTGAATCAAACGTAGAACAGGGTTGGCACTTCAAATTATTTGATGAATACAAGACACAATTAGTAATACAAGACTCACAATACCCCGTTTGTGTGTTGCATTTGTCTTTACAAGTGGGGTCGCATAAAACACACGTGCCGGTTGAGTCGGGGTAATACCCATTCACACACTCAATGCATTTCTGTGAAAAGTCTGTCGCGCACTTATTGCAATTAGAATCCATTTGAAAACAATTTTGGCACTTCACATTGTTTGTTTCAAAAAAGACATAGTTGACAGCACATCCAGTGCAATACCCATTCGATGGATTACACTGTCCACCACATGTTGAGTCACACAATTGACATTTAAATGTGGAATTTGGATAATAATTTGAATTGCAGCTAACACACTTTCTTGATGCATCAGATGCACAAATGTTACAATTTGAATCAAAAGTAGAACAAGATTCGCACTTTGTCGAATCGCTTGCTGATACAACGTAATTATTAGCACAATTTGTACATTCGCCAGTTTTCCCGTTGCAATTATCACATCCAGACGGACAAGCAACACATCTGAATGTCGTGGGATTGACATACGTTTGATTCGTACACATCTCACATTTTCGATCTCCGTTTGTTGAACACGTTAAACAGTTTAAATCCAGTGTAGAACAAGCAACACAAGTCTTTGGGTTTGTGTCAGATTTGATATAATTGGTCCCACATCCAGTGCAATAGCCATTAGTTTGATCACACTGTTTGTTACACGAAGAATCGCATGCAACACATCTGTTGTTCACCAAATAGTAACCTGCGTTGCATTGGGTGCACTTTCGTGTGTAATTGGATGCACACGTGTTGCAATTCGGATCAAAATCAGAACACTTTTGACACTTCAAATTGCTTGTCTCATATAAGACGTAATTGGCAGTGCAACCGGTGCAATACCCATTCGTTGGATTACATTGACCACCACACGTCGAGTCACACTCACCACACTTTCCAGACGCTTGGGGATATTTTCCCGTTGAACACGTTGAGCATATTCTGTTTGGTGAATTGTTGCAACTGACACAAGATGTGTCAAAAACACTACAACTGATGCACTTTGTTGATTTTGGTTCTGTGAAGACACTCTGTGTTGAACATGATGTGCAAATTCCGTTTGTCGTGTCACAACTTCCACCGCACGTGGAATCACAACTTTTACATGTATATGTTGTATCGGGGTACATATTAGCTTTGCATGAAATGTAAGTTCTTGAATTATCTGTTGAACACATTTCACAATTCGAGTCAAAATCTTTGCAAGCAACACACGTGTTACTAGGCGGATTTGTAAAAACGTAATTGGAGACACAAGAGGTGCAAATACCAGTCGCAGAATTACACATCGTACAATTACCATTGTTGCAAGGCACGCATACACCAGCACTGTTGGGATAATACCCATTTTCACAATCAACACATTTTCGCGTGAAGTCTGATTTGCACGTTTTGCAGTTGCTGTCAAATGTCTTGCAAGTGACACACACTTTACTCTTTGTCTCTTCAAACACGTAGTTAGTCATACAGGCAGTGCAGATACCACTAGTTTGGTTGCAATTGCCATTACATGTCGAACTACACGATTTGCATTTCTTAGTTGATTCATCGGGATACATCCCACTTGTCTTACATGTCACACACTGCCGTTGGTATGATGAATCACACGTCAGGCAATTTGCATCATATGTTGCGCATTTGTCACACACCAAACTGTTTGTTGTGGAAAACACGTAATTTGATAGACACCCAGTACATTGGCCATTTGTGGTATTGCACTGACTACCACAGGTCGAGTCACAATCACCACATTTATAGCTTTCTGTGGATTTTGGGTATTTACCACTCGAACACAACTCACATTTTCTGGTGAAGTCAGTTGCACATTTCGAGCAGTATGAATCAAATTCAGAACATTTCACACAGACTTTCGATATTGGAGAAGTCACTATGTAATTCAGCAAACACTGCGAACAATATCCACTTGTCGAGTCACACGTATTTGCTTTGCAAGTTGAGTCACACGCCACACACCTTCCATTGAGCAAATAAAACCCACTGTTCTCACGACACGTGATACACTTTCTTTCTCCATTTGAAGCACATGCAACACAGTTTACATCAAAAGTAGAACAGTCGATACATGTTAAGCCTCTTGGTTCGTTGAAGACTTTTCCAGAAACACAACTTGTGCAAATTCCATTTGTTGTGTCACAACTCCCACCACACGAAGCATCACAACTTTTACATTTTCCATTGGAAACATCGGGATACATATTTGTATTGCATGTGGTGCAATTTCTTAGACTTGACGAACTACAAGACACACAATTTGAGTCAAATGAAGTACAACTCAAACACCCAATTTGTTTTGGATCATAAAAAACGTAATTGGCTTTACATTGTGTGCAAATACCATCTGTTCCACACATTGAACACGTTGAGTCACACAACGCACACATTCCATTCGATAAATACGAAACACCACTTTGACACGAAAGACACTTTCTTTCTGTTCTCGAACAACTCAGACAATTCGAATCGAAAGAAGAACAACTTTGACACTGTTTTGGGTTTGATGGGTTGATTGTGTACTGATCACTGATACAAGTCATGCAATTACCCGTTGTGGTGGAACACTTACTTGAACAAGAACTATGGCAATCAATACAACTAAACGGAGAAGAAGGGTTTGGATATTTTCCAGTCAGACATGTTGTGCATTTTCTGATAGTTTGTGAACAGACAGTGCAATACTGATCAAACGAAGAACAAAATTCACATGGAATACTATCCGTTGTATTTTTGGTGTATCCGGTCGCACAAGTCTCACAAATGCCCGTGTTTTTATTGCAATTGTTATATGCACATGTCGTGTCACATTGAGAACATGTGTTTTGTGCGTTTATATAGTAATTTGTATCACAAGACGTACAAACTCGATTTTTGTTGTCTCCACACACATCACAATTTGGATCAAAAGATCTACAAAACTGACATGTTTCGTTGTTAACAGGAAAAGGAACATAATTAGTCGAACAACCATTACAAGTCCCATCGGTGTTGCAAGTTGAACATGTCCAATCACACAATGAACACAAACCACTGGAATTCACATATGAAATACCACTTGTACAAGTCAAACATTTTTCTTCTGTTTGGCTACAAGTTACACAATTTGTGATTTGATTACATTGAGAACACTTTTTATTTATTGGATAATACCCATTATTACATTGTGTACAACCCAATAATACGTTACAATATGTTGAAGCACAATTTGTATCACATGTGACACAAAAAGAACCGACTAGATATGTACCAGTTTTACAAGAAAGACAAGTCGATGAAGACCCAGAACATGTGGCACAATTTGAATCACACGAGACACATACCCCATCGACTAAATAATAACCATCATGACACATATCACATAATGTTGTGTTGGATATGCAATGCCCAGACACACAATTACTACAACTTAGACATTGGTTGTTCCATAAATATCGCTCTCCTTGTACGCATGATAAACAATTTGTTGAATTAGAGATACATGTCTGACATGATGATGAACAAGAAAGACATTCAAATGAAGATATGTAATAACCATCAACACAGTAATAACAATCTGTTGTTTGTGGACCAAAACATGAACTGCAAATGCTTGAACACTTGTAACACTCATTGTTATATAAATAATACCCACGCAAACAATCATAACACAAATTATAATCACAATATCGACAATTTTGTACCCAACACAATTCACAATAACTTGCATCAACGACAAAATACCCCGATTTACAACCTATACAATATTCACCAGTTTCACAATAAACACAGTTAGTTGCACATGGTTGACATGTGTAATTATATTTTCCATGATAAGTGTCAAGATAAAACCCTTCACCACACCAAGAACAATTCGTTCGTTCCGGGCCATTACACCCACCACACTCTGAATGACATTCATAACATACATTATTTGAAAGATAAAATTGATCATTACAATTAGTGCAATTTGTACTTGTACCATCACATGAATAACAATTACTGTTACACTCGAGACAATATCCATTTGACAAATAATACCCCGTTTTACACGACAAACAATTGTTTGGAGCCGTCCCATTACATTTGAAACATTTCGAGTCACATGGCTGACAATATCCATTTGTTAAATAATAATACATTTTACATGATGTGCAATTGTTTTCGTTGACCCCATTACAACGACTACAATTTGAACTGCATTTTAAACAAGATCCACTTAAATAATAATAAAAACTCTTACAATTTATACAATTGTTCGCGCCACTACCATTACATGCATTACAAGTGGGATCACATTTGAGGCAATACCCATTTGACAAGTAATAATATGGTCGACAAGTCAAACAATTGTTGGAATTTATCCCATTGCATACACTACAAGAGTCGTCACATTTAAGACATTCTGAACCTGACAAGAAATATGAGTAAGAACATGTGGTACAAGTTGTAGCATCAGTACAAGAAAAACACGAGAATTTACATAAAAGACATGTACTGGAACCTGAATAGTAATAACCATCGTTGCAGGTATAACAAGCATTATTTGAACCCCCATAACATTCAAGGCAGCCATAAGAACAACTAACACAAGTTGTGTCTCCATATGGATAATATCCCTGTTTACAATAATAACATCCAGTACTCAACCCATTATAACATTCTCCACATGGATTCGCACATGAATTACATGTTGAGTTTCCATTAAGATAATATCCAGGTGTACAAGTGTAACATCCTGTATATGATGCATTAAAACAAGTCTCACACGATGATGAACAAGAAGAACAAGTATTTGACCCAGACAAATAATAATTTGTATTACATGTAAGACACCCAGTTGATGAAGAGTCTAAACAAGTTCCACATGAAAGGTGACAACTTGTACATGTATTTGGGGCTGACATATAATAATTTAAATTACATGTGTTACAATTTGTGTTCTCAGAACCATAACAAGTTGCACAAGCATATGAACATTCATAACATCTGGAAATTTGTGTTAGATAGTACCCATTCCGACAACTGTAACACCCAGAATTTGTCGAATTAAAACAAGTTGCACATGCATATGAACAACTACTGCATTTAGAAACGTCTGTCAAATAATACCCATCATTACACGTATAACATCCAGTGTAAGATGAATTGAAACATGTGGCACAGTATGAATGACATTTAAAGCACGAACCCGAGTCCAAATAATAGCCATCGTTACATTCGGAGCAAAGAATAGTTGTTCCAACACAGAGTTTGCAATTTTCACAAGACCCTTTAGTGGTCTTTTTTTGTTTTGCTACAATTGAATTTTTTGTAATTTGTTTGGTATATGAATAAAAGAGTTCCTGTCTTTGGAGTAATTGTAAGTATTACCAATTTCATCAAATTTCAAAATATAAAAAAATTTTTTGTTGATTGTGACATTGAGTTCAGTATTAAATTCACATTTAATGATAAAACTATCTATGATATTAGGCAACTCAACTTGGTTATAAAAGAGACTCCATTGATATTGAGGTGAACACTTC